GTTTCAGAAATTGGTTCATTCTGAGAGTTTTGTAAAGATTTTTCTAATTTTAAAATTTTATCTCTCAGCTCAGAGTTTTCCAATTTGAGACTCTCAGACTTATTAGAGTCAGATTCAAGAGTCCTTTTCAGGTCTCTGAATTTAGCTCTAATCTGCTGATAGCGTTCCAGAATTTCATTGAGGCTTTCAGCAAGTTCAGCCTTTGTAAAATTAACAGCGAAGTTAGGGAATACCTCTTCTGTGTCTGATTCTGAGTCTGAGTCAGAAGCTTCACTGTCATCTGGAATGTTAGCCATGAGCGCTATGTTCGCCCTTTCATCATCTGATTCTGAGTCAGCTTCAGACGAGTCAGAGTCATCCCATGTGGCCATGAGACTTTTCTTCTTCTCTCTTCCAAACTTCTTTTTGGGCTTTTCCCTCTGAAGCTTTGGACAGTCACTCTTGTAGTGTCCTTGCTCATTGCACTCGTAGCAGATGATGTCTTTTGTATTTGGCTTCTTGTTACCAGAGGAGCCTTCAGATCTTCTGTATCCAGAGGAAGAATCTGTCCTTCTGTATCTGGAAGAAGACTCGTTCTGATCAGATCTTCTGGGATTCCTGAACTTCCTTTGTCTTTGCTTCCACAGTTGATTTACTCTTCTGGAGAGAAGGGAAAGTTCGTCTTCTTCTGATGAGGATCCATCAGATGTTTCTTCAACTGCCTGCAAAACTTTAGATTCAGATTTTCTGTTAGATTTTAAAGCTATAGGCTTACCTTGCTTCTGAGGCTCGTCAGCTTCTAGCTCTATCTCATGACTTCTGAGGGAGCTTATAAGTTCCTCCAGAGTGATTTTGTTGAGATCTTTCGCCAGCTTCAGAGCAGTAACCATAGGCTTCCACTGCTTGGGTAAACTTCTGATTATCTTCTTGACATGGTCAGCAGTAGAGTATCCTTTGTCCAGAACTTTGAGACCAGCTACCAGAATCTGGAATCTAGAGAACATAGTTTCAATGGATTCAGAATCTTCCATTTTAAACGCCTCATACTTCTGAATGAGCGCCAGAGCTTTTGTTTCTTTGACTTGAACGTTGCCCTCACGCGTCATTCTGAGAGAATCAAAGATGTTCTTAGCTGTGTCTCTGTTGGAGATCTTCTCATACTCAGTATAGGAGATGGCACTGAGGAGGATGGTTCTGGCCTTATGGTGATTCTTGAAATCACGCTTTTGTTGATCAGTCATTGATTTTCTTTCAATCTTCTGACCAGTTGCATTCACAGGGTGCGTGTATCCATCTGTCACCATATCCCACAGATCAGCATCATGTGCTAGAAAGAAGCTTTCAATTCTGTCTTTCCAGTAGTCAAAGTTTTCTCCATCAAAAACTGGAGGTTTGCCGCTGAATCTGTCTCTATCCTCATTGTTGTCATTGCTGAAATGAGAGTTGTTTCCTGCCATTGTGTTTTTCTGACGCTGGATCTTGTACTGACACGGTTAAGTGTTTTAGCTCAGAACCAGGCGCTCTGATGCCAATTGAAGGGGTGAAAAACACAAGAAGGGGGGGTTGAATTGTAAAACTGGAAACTTAAAGCAAATGACAAGATATTTTTATCCTGGTTCGTTTGATCTCAAACTACTCCAGTCCACCCGTCAAGGTGATTTCGCCTCTCTCCAACGAGGTCTTAATTCACTATATTCAACTGAATACAAATCTGCTTTAACAACTGCTAAAGCCTTCTTGATTCAAACCACAATCCGGTTTGTCAAGGCAACACTTTCTTACAAAGGTATAAAATAATGTGTGTGAATGTTTTCTACAAAACTATATCACAACTGTGATGTTTACACAAATTAAGCTTAGAATACTAGGATGCTAAACACTAATGGAGTATCAGAGTTTGTTGGTTTAGCAAAACTGGTAGATGAAGATTATTGTTCAGCTTTGTGCGTGTAGAGAGTTTGGAAGCATTAGCCATGATAATCTTCGAAGCTTGGTTTATATAGCACTTGAGAAGATGAACGTTGAAGCAAATATTCTTGATTCAATGCTAATAACAAGCTTTCCTTTTTGAGCAGATCTTGTCTAGAATGATGCCGTTGGAATTAATTAGCGTTCAATGCACAGTACCGTTGCTTCTTCAATGCACGTTCTGGCTTGGCTCATTCTGATTCTGCTTCGCTGCTGATGAACTAATGTGTTTCTGTATCAGAGTGTTTTACGCGCAATTCTGTTCATCAAGCTTCAGCATGTACGTGAGTTGATCATCTGATCTTTACGTTCTGATTCAGCAACTTCTGATGCTGGTGTACAAACTCATATTCTGATGCTGAATAAGTGATCTTGCTTATTTTAATCAGCATATCTGCAAGTCAGAGCATAGTAATTTTAGGCAGCATATAATTCAATCATGAAATATTTAAATACTATATCTTTTCACTTTGTTATCATCAAAACTTAAATATAGGGTACTAGATTCAAACATTGTTCTAACAGATTGTTGTCGATCTTGCATCAGGTCCAGCCGTTTCGTGGCGTTGTTGATCGTTGTTCATGGTGGAGACACCAAGCGTTTTTTTCAGTTAATTCTTAATGTCATTGGATTTTGGGCAATTTTTGTAAGGTTGTTCAGTTAGACGACCATGTCCTTTCAGCATTAAATTCTTTGTGGAAAACTAAAGCTCAGAGTAAGTCTCTTTTCTTTGGTTGAAGACTCCTTTTTCATCGCCTTCCGTCGAGGATGAATTTATCTAGACGCGATGTTTTAGTGGGTCAACACAATTTGGTTTGTCCCTTATGTTTTGGAGTTGAAGAAGAAATTGATCATCTTTTTGTTGGCTGCCCGATGTCGTCCTCTTGGTGGATTAGAGCTTGTGATTGACTCCAGGTATCTCCTAACTCGAATTCAGATTCTATTGTTGATAGATTGATTTCCTTGAAATCTTCTTGTAGGCTTAAATTCCAGTTGGATTCAGGATGGGTTTTTGGTTTAGTCTTTTGTTAAACATTTTGGGTTTGTAGGAATGTTATTCTCTTTGAAAGGGGTATCCTTTATAAATTGGATGATTTATGTATGTTCAAGTTTTTGGTTTGTGAGTGGTTTTTAGTGAATTATAATTCTGATAAAAATTTATTGTGATCGGATTGATGTATATCTCTAACTAATTGTTTAATTGATTAGTTGGAATTTTTCCTTTATTTTTATTGGATTATGCACCCCTTATGCCGTTTATTTGTTAAATCTTTTGCTTATAAAAAAATATGACATTTGACTCAGAGAAAGATGACAATTGACGGTAATAAAATAATGATGATTATTGAATTATATTTAAATTTAACATTTAAATTAATTTACAAGTTAGTATTTTAATAATAAATAATATAATACTAAAATAAAAAAATCAATAGCAAAGTGCACTTAGTGAATTGTTAACAATACCATATTTATATTATTTAAATTGTTAATAAACTAACCCTATACATATTATAAATAATTTATTAACCAAATTTAAGTTAAAAATTAGTTTAAAATATTTAACTAATTGTTTTAAATTAAAAATATTTATTTTTTGAAAATTAATTTAAAAATATATTCTTTTCTAAAAGATACATTTTTCTAAAAATAAAAAAAATTAGAAATGTTTTTTCTTAAAAATTTAGAAAAAGTATTTTTTTCTTAGGAAATTTAAATAGAATTTTTTCTAGAAAATAATTTTTTTCTTAAAATAAAAAGTAAATTTTTAAATATTTTTTTTATGAAATCCAAAAAGATAAAAAATATCTAAAAGTGTTCAAAATATAAAATCATGCAAATTAATTATAAATTGACATAAAAACAAATTGGTTATAAATAAATTCTTTTTTCAATAGAAATCAGATATCTTTTGCTAATTAGACAAATTAATTCTTCGAATTGAGGAGAAACTCAATAGATATCAAAACTCTTGATTGTTGCATGCTCACGGTCGTGTTCTAGTCCAAGATCTATGATTAAGATAGAGACCCTTACTATCTTATCCAAATACTCTTGAATTATATAAATTTATTTTTAATTAAATTGAAACAATTTTATTGAGATTAACGACAATCTTTCACATACTACAACCAATTTCCTAAATATTTTATTAACAACAATAATCAACCTTTTTTTCACTAAATGAGATTGATTACATGAATCAACTTTTACAATAAATTTTTTTTTTTGACTTTTTTTCTATTATTTAATCTATTTTCCAATTTTTTATTTATAAATTAGGATAAATTTTTATATATTTTCTATCTTTTTTATCTTTTTTAAAATTTTCTATCTTTTTATTATTTCTATCTTTTTCTTTTTTAATTCATAAATAAATTTTAATATTTATTTCAGATTATTTTTTTGCTTTTTTTTGTTTTACAGTGAACATATTAATTATACCACCGGCTTTAAAAAATAAAATAAAATATATAATAAAAAAATATTTAAATATAAAAGGAGTATTCCTTCCATAATAATTTATAAATAAATTTGATTTTTTAATATATTTGATAATTAAAATATTTAATTAAATACATAAATTAAATACATTAATTATTAAGTATATTAAAAAATCAAATTTTCTTATAAATGTTACTGATAGAATATTTCATTTTCCAAGAATTTCAAGTACCTATAGTACTCGTGTCATGCAAGTATATAAAGTTGATAAAATGATAATGGTAAGGTAAAGTAAAGACTATATACAACTGTTACATTTGTTCAAGAGACTAAACTGAAAGAAAAAAAATACAGAAGTTCTAAACTCTCCCGCGTTACTTATTCAACAAAACATCATTCATCAAAATCCTTTGTTTTCGATCTCATTGTCTTCAGGTATATCAATCTCTTCCTCATTGTTCGCACATTTTTTTCTCTGTCTTATATTTATGGATCTATCATGATAAGCTTGTTATTACCGAAATTTGAGACAGATCGATAGATCTTTTTACGTTAGTATTGTGGATTTGTTATAAACATAATTTTTCAGTTTTTGAAGAATTCAAACATGGACGATGCCGGAGTTTCAAAAATAACAGCCAAACTGAAGGAAATATTTCAGAAGTGGCAAACGGGTTCTAAAGAGTGTAACGATGAACATTCTGGTGTGAATAATGTGGGAATATCGCCGATGATTAAGAAGAGGCTAAACAGTTTGATGTATTGTGATTCTGATGAAGATAGCTGCAATAGTCCTAAAGGACCAGATGATGTTCCAAAAGGGTACTTGGCTGTGTATGTTGGCCCTGAGCTTAGGAGGTTTATCATTCCAACAAGCTACCTTGGTCATTCTCTTTTCAAGATGTTGTTGGAAAAAGCTGCTGATGAATTTGGTTTTGATCAGAGTGGTGGACTTACTATTCCTTGTGAAATTGAGACCTTTAAATATCTTCTTAATTGCATGGAGAATACTCAGCTTCAAGATCATGATAACTCATGTAAGTTAATTGCTTTACTTCATATAATCTCATATAGCTATCAAGATTGTCTCTGAGGCCGTGTAAGATGGGTTATCACACATAATTTAAAATTTTTCACAATTAAATCCTAATTAAATAAGGTTCATAAAATCTTTATTATAGTTGAATAGAGCCTCTAATGGTTTCGTTTTGACCGGTTGAACCATAATTAATCTATAAAATCTCCAAAAATTTAAGATGGCTCTTTATTAAGTATGATATCTACGATTTTAAGACTTTCTACAATATTATCGTCAAGACCGTCTTAAACTTTTGAAAATGTATAAAGGTTATATTTGTTTAACCTAAAAATATATATTGAAGTTCTATTTAACCACAGTTTAATATTGATAAAAGTTTAGAATTTGTATTGTAGTTCGCCTTGCACCCGGGTGTTTTTTTTTTTTTTGACTAATTATTGGATTATTCGTAAAATTGCAGCTGGAAACACATGAACTGAGGAAGAGTGAACAGACTAATCTGATTTTATAGAGGTTGAAATCACAGTGCTGGTTTCAAGTGTGAACAAAATTTCCCTTGATTCCGTCATTTATTTATTTAATTTCATTTAAGAAATGATAGAATAACCTTGTTACTTTCTTAGAAATACTATTGTTTCCTATACAACAATTCATTGATACATACAATGATTGTATTCTTTTTTATGCTATGATATTTAAGAACTGAATCCAATATTGTCCTCAATTCCTAATCCTTGTACTTTTCCTTCTAAATTCTGTTTACATAAGTTGATTTTTACTCTTGATAAAATAATTGTTACATAAAATGTGACATGTGCTTTTGTAACATAATCTTGAACCAAATCTCGTTTTGAGCTGTCTCTGATCCATTCAGACCATATGCTAAATTTATTATTCAAGTAAATAATAGTTAAAGTGTTCATCATGTTCTGATAATAAAAGCATCCTTTATTCTCTGCATCGAATATGTGCACATGGAAACTTAGATTTCTTTAAAAGCTGTTATACAACAGGCTTTACTAAATTTAGAAGGGTGAACAGAGAGTTTCATGTGTTTTTATGAACAAACTGATTTACTTAAAATTGTTTAATTGAGAGATGGAAAATTGGATTGAATATACAAATGGCTAAGTTGATTGCAAAATACATGAAACAAAACTATAGAAACTATTTTTATATTTTTGAAAGAATCACAAATTATTTATATAATTTATAAAATTAAGGAGATAAGGGTTGCTTGAACTTTTGTCCTCTCTTGTGGCCTAATTTACTCTCCTCACTATTTGTGAAAATTTCTTGCTATTTTCGTTTTTTGAATGTAAGGTCGAATAATTACCATCATGAATTTCTTGAACCCTATGATTCTAACGCCTTTTGAATTAAGTGCCTTCAATTTTTGTTGAAATCAAGAAAACTCAAATTTTGCAACTCTTTACAATTTCATCTTAGTTTATTTTAGAACAATCTACAAATTCAATCTCGGACAACTACAGGTTAGAAATTGGAATCACTCTTTGGTGAATAATAGAGGGTTTTAGTATGGAGAATTAGAGAGAAAGGGAGAGATAAAGGAGATATAGAGAGATGATTGAGGGTGAGAGTTTTCTATTTCATTTCATTAACAAACATATCCATCCTCAATTAAGTGATTGAGATACAAAAACATCAAATCAAATAAGAGAAAAAATAAAATGTCGGACCTGTAACTAGTTATATAAAATCTGTAACCGATTACTATTGTTAAATAATAAAAAATAACAAACAGTTGTAACCAGTTACTGTGAATGCGTAACTGGTTACACCAACTCCAAAAGTACTTTTTCTTCAGTTTATTGACTTATTTTTTATGTCTGTAACCGGTTACACCCCTCGTGTTAACCGGTTACAACACTTGAAATACTCAAAATCTCTTAACATACAACCTTATTTTAAGTGCTCCAAGTCTTCCATACCCATGCTCATCTTCAACCTTTTGAACACATCATTTGTTGCTCCCTTAGTCGATAAATACACCATTTAGTCTTCACTTCTACAATATCCTAATCATAATTTCCTTCACTAACAAGTTCCCTCAAGTAGTGAAACCTCATCTCAATGTGCTTGCTCCTCCTATGTGCAATTGGGTTCTTAGCAAGATTAATCGTGAAAACGTTATCAACCAAGAGCGTAACAACCCCACCTTCATTGCTTCTCATCTCCTTTGAAATTCTGACACTTGCAATACAAATGTCAAGACTGATGTCTTAACACAAATACGATGTCAGGACAAATATTATGACATTTGTTGACAGAAACCACAAATTGTATGGAAAAATAAATTGTAGAAAATTAAACAACACAAGCAATTGTTAACCCAGTTCGGTGCAACGTCACCTACTCTGGGGGCTACCAAGTCAGGAAGGAAATCCACTATGATAATATTAGTTTGAAGCCTAAACATTCACAATTTACAACTTCTCTCCTAATCACTACCTTGTGCAACTTTTACCTAGAAACCTCATAGATATGAGAACTCCCTATCACTTCTAATTACCACAGTGATACCTACCTCCATAAACCTTGTGACTAGACTTAAAAATCCAACAGAAGATTACACTTCAAATAAATAATACTTAGTTTTTCTTAAAATCTTCAACTAAGAACAATACTCAACTCTTTGCTTAAAAGCTCATGAGTGAGAACAATAACTTGATTAACAATCAAGTAACAATCAGTCTCCTCAATTCATCAAAAGATACATGAGTTGTGAGTACAACTTTAGTAAAAGGTGTTTTGCATGATGTCAAAACTTGGAAAGATGACACGTCAGTGAAATGGATGGTATCTCTATGTATTGTGGCACTTCTCTGCATTATAGGTCTTGAGAATCATCAAAAAGTACTTTGAAATTGATCCAATACATCAAAAACATTTTCTGCATTGAATGTGTCGACACATTCGATTTTCAGATCAACACATTCAATTTTCAGGACGACACATGTAAATTTGTTTTTAAGCCTGTAAACTTCTGTAAGTCACATGTCGACACATATAACCTTCAGGTCGACACATACTAAAAGATTTCTGAAATTGCAGAAATTCTTATTTTATGTGTCGACACATCCATATTTCAGATCAACACATTTACTCATGTTTTAAAGCCTGTAGCTTCTGACTTGTTCAGGTCGACACATAGAGTCCTTCAAGTCGACACATGCATTCTTTTTATAATGTATGTATCGACACATACGAATTTGAGGTCGACACATAAAATCTATTTTGGTCATATTATCAATTTTTTATTCCGAATTTGTCCTTTTTGCCCTAAACATTTCCAAACTATAAATACCCTTTCATGCATCATTCCAAACTTGATGATACCATGAAATTGGCCTAAATTTCTTCTTTTTCTTCAACCTTCCAATCTACACATGCACACTAACATTATATTGTGATGATGTTCCACCGGGGTGCCATCTAAACGAAGAATTATGGATTTCCAATTGGTTTGGGTTGGAAATTTTAGGGGTCTTCATCCGGGAAAAACCATCGGGTTTCTCCTTCAAAATCATTTGTTGAATTGGGGGTTTTCGTGTAAGATCGTGCGAGAAGAAATCTTCCATGTGAAAAATCCCTTCGAGTGTTTGAAATTTTTCAAGGAACCTTAGAGTGATTGAAATCTTTTTTAAGGAAGTAGCAAGAATTGGATGACATAATCACTGATCTTGTGTTTATAGTGTGCAATAAGATTTACTCGAGTTAAAAATCCCTTGGAGTATTTGAAATCTTTGCAAGGAACCTTGGAGTGTTTGAAATATTTTCAAGGAAGTAGCTTAAGCGGCGAATAGGTTGTATTTATCGGTTGATTTGATCTTTCTTAAGATCAAAGGTTGGAAGAAGGAGCGTCAACACCAAATTAGAGAATTTTGTATTGTTGTTCTATCTCTTCCCTTTGTAATAAACAATTTTGCATATAATAATTATCCTAATTCAATTGGAATTAGACGCAGACGTATCCATACGCGAGGACGACAGTGGGAAACTGTATAGACAAATTCCTTGTGTGTTTTTACTTTTCCGCTTACCTGCTTTCAATTTCATCAATCATTTTAACAATTAGCATTGTGCTTGTAATTGAATTGTAATATTTTTCCTCTCAAAATATGTTTTTGAATTAGGTGTGGATATAGCTTATAATCACTTTTGGTTATAAGTGATTTTGTATATCAACACCACTCAAGGAAAAATTCTGAAAATTCACTTGCATGCCAATTGTTTGATAAAACGATCAAGTTAGTTCTTTGATTATTTAGCCTTGAAAATAGCACTGCAAAGTGCTTGTGTTCAAACAATAAATAAGTAGATTGTTGAATTAAGTTTGTGTTAATCGATTATTTCAATTTTGTTTCATAGATTTAACGTTAACAATTTGTATATCCGAGTTTCTAATAAGTTGAATTTTAGACGACTTATCTAGTGATTTGCTTCTGCATTAAAGAGTTTTGAAAACAATTTAAATTTTAGATTTGTGTCTAGAATTATTTTTTGCGCCTCTATTCACCCCCTCTAGATACGCGTTGTCGTCTAACAAGTGGAATCAAGAGCCATGTTCATTCCAGCTTTAAATACTACTTAGAAAATGGCTTACGAACCTAAGGGGGATCATAAGAGAGCTCCAATTTTCACAGGAGAAAATTATACTTATTGGAAAACTTGTATGCAAATTCATATCAAATCATATGACAAAAGTGTGTGGGAAACGATCATAACTGGAGTTCCAGAAGTCCGATTGAGGCGTTCTAATAATCGACGGAAAGCTAAGAGAAAGAGCTACAATTATTATGTTGGAGTCGAAGTCAGAATCGGACTGTAGAAGGGACAGAAAATTCGTTGAAGTTGCAGCACTAGTTTTAGTTAAGTTTCGGGTCAATTAGTTTTGGGCCTGGGTCGTATGTTTGACCCAGTTGGATTGTAAAACGGGTTGTACTCTTTCCCCTTAGGGTAGCAGCCGCGGCACGGTAGCAGCTATCTTCCATTCACGATTTTGATTGTAAGCTTGTACGAATGGCCATGGAGAACTAATCACTTTTGGTTGATCTACCGAATTCAGGTTCCGAAACTATGAGATTATTATAAGTTTTGCAATAAAATTCCTTTTCCTTCAATTATATATTTTGTTTATCTTTTGCTTAATTTGATATTCGTAATATATATTGTTTGGTTCGATTGATCTATGTTTTTCAATTTATCTGCGTGTTTATCGTATGCTTAATCGTTAAACCGTTTATCGCTTAACCGAATGCTTAATTCGGCAAACGGAAAATATAATTCGTATAATATTGTTGCGCTTGTTGATTATATTGTAATCGAACAGGAAAGGAATCCGCTTAGGATAGTGAGATATTAATAATCGATGATTGGTAGGAACTGAATCGGTAGATTGACTTATTTTCATAATCACTTTTTCAAAACAGCTTATTTTCATAATAACTTTT